TGAAGCTTCATTTAATATTAGAGTAACTAGTAGCTTAGCTCACTACACTTTCCAAGGAGCTTGCCCAACACTGCTCAAGTTCCTGTTTTGCTGCCGTGATACTGAAGGTCATTACCGATTTCCAGTATACTGCTTTTGGGTCCAAATTACACGTTACAATGTGTGTGTTTTGGAGGGTGGGGGTGGGGGCTACAGTCTTGTGTAACTGTAAGTCTTAAAAATGGAAATGGATGAGTGATATGTGAATTCAGCCCCCATACAGTTGTTATAAATGTTGAAATCAGCTATAGAGACCAAAACTGTTTTTGTACCAGGCTTTAAACAGTTTTTTTTTTTTGCTGTAAAGTTGGACCTTTAAACATGGGGGATTCACTGGCTTTAGGAGCCAGCCTCAAGTGGATTTTGGCTCTTATGCGTTGGCTTCATTTTTCAGCCCCGGAGTTTGCAGCTTGCCAGAAACACAACAATGACCAAAGCTTGCTTTTTGTTTGTTGGTCTCAAACAGTGGTCTGTAGATAGCAGGTGTCTCGCCTTGCTGGAAAACAGTGATAACTCACTAAAACACAGCCATGCTGATAATAGCTTTGTAGGTGAAACAAGTAGGCCTATGTTTCTGTTTATTCTTGCCCATATTAAAAATTGTAAATTTTCTGCATGGTGCCAACCACAGTGAGTGCTGATGTTCTGCTTGTTTTTAAAATCTCTCCACAACTGTCCACCGTGCTTATTATTTAAGATTATTGGAGCTGTGAATGCTACCTTTTCTTCATGGTAATCCAATAATAACTGGTTTCTCACCATCTAATAAAGAATTATGTCAGCATTTATAAATGTTTATTAATACATGGATTTTGGTCTGATTTCTCCACAGGTTTTCCCAGATGATGAATGCCTGCCTGAGGAAGTTTCCCTGATCTATCAACCCCTACAGTTCTATTAAAGGGCCAGTGTGTAAAATGGGTTGAAAACAGTGACATCAGTGGTCAAATTCTAGATTGCAGGGCTCACTTGCTCACCCCTCCCGTTGGGTAAATGACGGTGGCCTCGTAGGGACAAAAAGCCTTGCGCAGACACGAGTTTTTCAGGATTAAGTCTATCTAGCGATGAGGTGAATATTTATTTAGAAATCTAAACCATGTTACGATATTGTAATGAATCACTCACGAGCAGGAGACCAGAGTAGCGTTCGGGAAAAAAGCCCGTTTATTTGAGCACTCCAGAAACTCCGGTAACACTCCAGGGGGTAAAAGACTCCGTCCCAAACTCTGACTCTTCTAACGTAACACACACACTCCATACACACATACTCGCTTACAGTACCTAGCGGGTACCCCCTCACGTCTCTGCTCCACCAATCTCCAGCCCACACACTGACTGACAGAGTAGCCTGTAAACAAAACTCAGCTGTTTATTTAGCCTAGCAATATCTCTGGACTATAGTAGCTGCAATGGACAACTTTGAATGCGATTTTGAAGAGTTTCTTGTAGCGGACACAGATCCAGAGCCATACCTGTTTGAGCCAGTGCATACAGATGAGGAACTCCATGTGCTGGATGCTGAGCGGGCGAGAAGAGAGGCTGAATCCTCCGCTCCCATTTTGCTGCACAGAATGGGATTCGGTGCTACCATCGTTGGGGAGATATATCACCAGGAGGAAAAGTGCCGCAGAGAGTGCATCACAAGGAGTGAAGTTGCGTCTGTTGCGTGGTAAGTGTGGTCCATTCGCAAACTTTATAACTAAAAAAACTTTTCACTACTCTCTATCGACGAACTACTAACACTCTCTGCTGTTTCCTCCTCCTTCTTCCTTCCTTCCGCTGTCTTTGTTGGTTTATTTATACACGCGAAACGTTTTCTATGGCTGGCTGGCTGGATTGTCTGCTCGGGCTGCCGTACATACATGGCGGTGCAAGGTGGCGACCTATTATTATATTATAAGGCTATGAAAACCAAACGAATTTTATTTTATAGCGATTATACACTTACATAAATATATTAATGGGTAGAATATTCAGATTCAGATTCAGATTTGACATTTGACAATAAACCATGCCAAATATTACACACTGGCCCTTTAATGACTTTAACAGCTCCATGAAGCACTAGGAAATGATTTATTATGCATTAAAAAAAAAAAAACACTGGGCAGCAAACACTTAATTAAGTATTGACTTATTAGAAAATGTTACAAAATTTCTAGGTCTGGTGTGATTCTGCCGGCTGAATTTGGAGATGTGACCTGATTTCTAAAATTCAAGCTGCAGCCCTTCTTGTGTCTTTCTGTTAAAGGGATAGTTCAGTTTGTTTGAAGTGGGGTTCTATGGGGTACTTATCTATAGACTGTATATTACATATAGTAGATCCCCTCAGGGATCAATAAAGTATTTCTGATTCTCAACTGGCACGCCCCCAGTTTGGAGAAGCAGGCTGGAGTCCAATACAGAAACTCAGCAATCTACTGCCTTGGAAGGGTCAACAACAAAAGGTATTTTAGGCACTTAAAAAAAAGTCCCATAAAAAAAATCACATCAGTTCAAATGCACACTATATTTAGAGTATTTTCACTGTTTTACCTTAATGTCAGACAGCAACTTCCAACAGGAAAATGCTATTATATACTATTCTATTTCTCTCCAAAGCCAGACTTAATTTAGAAAAACTGTAATTTAACATTGCTGAACACAGGAGCTATACTGTTCTACCACTGCCTCAAACAGTAATTGTTTTCTGTTATTGTGTGACTTTTGCATTTAAAAGGATTAGTTCAGATTCACCAAAGTCACACAATACCACTAACTGGGCTGCCTGACAGAAGTAAAGCAGTGGAAATACTCTCAAAGTGTCCACTTAAAATGATATTGATTTTTTTTTAGTTGAACTTTTTTTATGTGGTTAGAAACGTTTTGTTGCTGACCCCATCCACAGCATTACATTGCTTAGCTTCCGTGTCAGACTCCGGCATGCTTCTCCAAGCTGGGTGCATGCTGACCAACAGCTGTTATTTGTAATACACTATGAATGAGTACCCCATACAACCCCACTTCAAAACTTCAACCCAGGTTTGTTATGAATTATATAACTACCAAAACAAGACTTCAGTAAAATAAAAGAAAAGCAAGCTTTGTGTGTTAATTGGAGGACTTTTGAGATGTTAACTGGCCGTCTAGCTTCACAGAAGATTATGTGCTGCAAGGGTAGTACAATTTATACTGTGTGAAAGCGCAGTATTCTCTCCTCCGTGTCAGAAAACACCATGGATCTCCTCCTTTACTCATTACCCAAGAAGGCTGTGTGTGAGGACAGTCTATAACAGTCGCTGTTATTAATTCTAAGATCCTGTCTGCGTCATGGGCTAATTTGAATGTGTGGTAAGCCTTCCCAGTTACTCTACATCTAATGATAACAGCCAGAAGCACTCAAATGAAACCAAAATAGTTGCCCTGGCCCTGCAATGCTCTTGTATTATCTCCTTGTGGTCTTATATCAAATTAGAACCATTTGAGTTGATAGTGTGTGTGTGTGTGTGTGTGAGAGAGAGAGAGAGAGAGAGAGTGAGAGAATGTCTGAGGAGTAGAGAGGGGACCATTTATAGGCCTGCTGTCATTATAGCAGGATAGATTAACACATATTGCAGTAAGTACTTTACCATAGTTTACCTTATTGGGTAGTGAGGCCAAGAAGACTACAAGGCTGACTGTGTGTTATTGTGAAGAAACAAAGAGCCAAAAACAGCCTGATTACACACACACATACACACGCTCAGGATTAGACCAAGTAATCCCAAACAAAACATGTGAGCCAGTAATCCCAATAATTTAGCATATGGTGGGAAAAAATCTGTGCATAACTTGGTAATGACAGCATGCTAGCTGAGGGCCTGACAGTGTAGGGGAGCAGAGGATCATGGGTAATGGAAAAGACAAGGTAACTCGATTTCTATACCTAAATTAGCAGATGAATTAAGATATAAACTCAACAGAGTGGATTCCTTTGCCCTTTAAATATGTCAAACTTCCAAACCCTGTGTGCATCTCTGTGAATAAATTGAATTTCTGTGTAAGATATAAGGATTTTAGGGACTGTTCTTTACTTGTAAGAGGAGGGGAGTGGCTGTGGGGCAAATTGATTTTGGACCCTCCCGAAAGCTACAGATATTTTTCCTTGAGCCTCCCTGAGTGTCTGGGGGAAAATGCACACCCCTCCCATCATTAGACTTGAAGAGTCGAAAAAAAGCCTTGCTTTTTCACTCCTGTTGTGCATGCTGGTTAGTTTGTGCAAAGTTTATTTTTTGTCAAATTCTAAACGAGACAGGACAGAGTGATTCTGATGAAATTTCGCTACTTTTGTTAGTACTTTTTTTTTTTTTTTTTTGATGGAAGTGCTTGTCAAACATGATGTGCCCAAGGACTGTCGGAAATTTGAAAATCTGGCTATGTTATGTGGTGTAATTTTGGCAATTTGTTTCCTTAAAAAATCTGTGGTAAAATAAATACAAAATGCCATTTCAATTTATTTGCCTCTCGCCTGAGCCAAAAAAAAAAAAAAAACAACGTAAGTCCAACCCCTGTGCTTAAAAATAAAAATAAAAAAATTGACATGCCTCCCCCTTTTTACATCACCCCCTTCCTCCTCACAAGTAACGAACGGTCCCTTATTATACCTGGACATGTGTTTAAAAGTAGCCAACTATAAAAAACATGAATGTCACGTTTGCTCGTATTTTTAGATAAACAGCCTGACTTCACCATGAAGTCCTGAGATTTTTATTTGAAGTCTCTGTTCCTCATCATAAATTGCACTAGAAACTACAATATCTAATTTAAGCTTAATTTGGGCTGCAGGAGTGTGCTACCTGGTTAAATGCCCATGATTCAGAAGGCTTTAAGGTAACACTGCAGACAATTTCCAAGCCCATTCCCCTTGATTGGGAATTAGGCTACAGCTAAGTGTAGCCTATTTGCCTTCTTCCAGCACTGTCTTCTGTTCTGTCTGTATTTATGATCCGAGCTTGCGCACTGAGCGCCTCCATTGTCTGGTTAGTAGCAGCAGCAGCAGCGGCGGCGGCGGAGCGGACAGCAGCGGAACGCCGATCTGAGCGCAGGGGAGCGGCTTCACTGTGACCCCGATCTCCGAGAAAAACAAGCGACCTCCGACTGGAGACCACCGGACCAGACAGACAGCACGGACGGCGACGTCATTTTTTTTCAAAGGCAGACCGTCGTTTTTGGCGGTCAGACAGACAGCAACAGTTGTCACGATGTCTGAGATCAGATGAGGCGAGAGCAGTGGACTGAACATTGCGGCGCTGCTGTGATCCGGGCCGGGCGGGATAAACGTGTTGCTGCCGCGTCCCGCCTGCAATGATACAGCCGTCTTAATCACCAGGGGACAACAAGGGAAGTGTGGTGTACATCTGTTTGGCATTCCCGGCTTTCGGCGTCATTCAGCTCGTCAGCCATACCCCGGTTGTGTCGAGGTTTTGTCTGCGGGTGAGCTGAATCCAGACGTCAGGGCGGGCTCATGTTCCGCTCAGCAGCGAAACGGGCTGTTGCGTCTGCAGAGAGTCAGAGCTGACGAGCCTGCTGAGACACACGGACAGACAGGCAGGCAGGCCGAGAGACAGACAGGAGTGAGGGGAGGGGGCGACAGCCTGTTTCGGCTCTCTCGACCCTTTGCGGATCGAGCCGAGCCCCCTCCTGTTTCCACCCAGAACCCCCACCCACTTGTCTCCCGCTTTGGATGGGGGGAAAGCAGAGCACGGCGGGGCGGCCCCGGGGTGCTTTTCCCGGTGTCTCTACGGATGACAGCGCGGTTCCACCCTCGGCCCACTTCGGCCACTACCGGCCGAGCGGCACCATGGGTCTGCGGAGCCGCTCGGTAAGCTCTGTGGCTGGGATGGGCATCGAGCACAGCCCCGCCGTGCCCTTCGGCTTCTACACCCCCAGAGGGACGGACTCGGATCGAGCCGGAGGGGGTTCAGGGGGCACTACCGCCGCCCCCCACGGTACCGGCTACCAGGACACTGGGGGCGGAGGGCACCACACGGACGGGGTGCTCTATCTGGGGTCCCGGGGGTCGCTGGCAGACACCTTGCCCCTGCACATCGCACCCCGCTGGTTCAGCGCGCATAGCGGTAAGGGCGGTCTACTCTGCACGCACTCTCTCTCTCTCTCTCTCTCTCTCTCTCTCTCTCTCTCTCTCTCTCTCTCTCTCTCACACACACACACACACTCTCACACACACACACACACACACACACACACACACACACACACATATCAGCCAGAAGTTGAGTGACGCTGAAAGATTAATCATGAGAGAAAACCTCCTACCAATGCATCCCCCCGTACATCCGCTCCTACACCTACAATCACGTACACCTTGTTTACCTGCAGGTATGAATGACACCATTGCGGTGCCATTAAATTTCCTAGAAAGGAAGTCCAGGCCAGCCTGAGGATGCTGTGGTAAAAGGAGCCAAAATAACAGAGAAAGGCACCTCTAGGTTTAAAAAAGCAAGCTGACCTGTGTGTAAAGCAGTATGTTTCCCTCTGGTTCTTCCCCTGTGTTGGCTGACGTGGGCGGACTGCACAGTTCCAGCAGCATGCAGGGGGCCACTCGACAGAAATCAGATTTTTAACACTTAACAGCTGACATCTTTAAATTAAATTCTAAAGCCTCAGTTAAAAATGGAAGTAGTATAGTCATACATCAGTTTCGGTCAAACACTCACATGAAACTGGCCATTTTATCAATTCAGGGAAACATTTGCTGTGTGTATATGTATGTGTGGGAAAGTGGATTTGGTGAAGGTAACATTGCAGGCTCCACTCAGTCTTGACTGTCACCGCTGTACCGTCTGCATAGGTCATTTCATGTTGTGTGAAATGACACTAATACGCCTGTTGCCAAATCTGGCTTAGTCAATTAGTCCAGCGATTAGAGAGGAGGAAGGGAGGGAGGAGAAACAGGAGAAGGAGGGAGGAAAAGAGATAAAGGAAGGTAAGGCAGGGAAGGAAAAAGAGTAAGGGGGGAGAGATGGGGGGGGGGGGGGGGGG